CCCTCTAAAGAATCTTCACTCATCATGACTAGAAAAAAATTAAGTAACACCACGCACACTTTATGATTTGGGATCATAAATATTCAAAAATAATGAAATAAAAAATAATCAGCAGGTTTCTGAGAGAGCTTAAATAATTCGAAATTCAGAGTGCCCTGCAAAGCTATTTATTTCCCGGGACTTCTGGGAGCAATACACTTCCAAATACAATAGCACAGTGTTTTGATACAGTGGTACTTCTTATTTTGTGGGCAAGGTTAATTTTCATAAGTTATCAGCCTGGCTTGGACTTAGGAACAGGCCTAGATACTTTGGGACACTTGGGAGGCATGATTTTACTTTTGGTAAGTGTGTTATCAAACAATGAAGGGGTTAAAACTTTTGTAAGGATTTCATGAGGGATTTAGTAGGTGGTTTGCACATACCTAAGGAACACAACAAGATGAACATCCTTGAAGCTGCCTGGAGTGATTAGAAGGGAGACTCTTTGTCAAAGAACTGTCTGCCCTTGAAGGGAACATCCCAGAGAAGTATAAACTTTGTTATCGTGTTTTTCTGAACTGTGAACACGCGCAGCAGTGACTTGGGGGAAAGGTAATTCCGGCAGGGGGAGATCGTGACCACCAACTCACCGACCACCTACCCTAAACATAACCCAGACCCAAAAGAAAAAGGTGGAGGAAGAGAACTGAGCACGCTACGTAATTTACATGTAAATCGAGAGAAAATTAACCAATTGTTTGAGTAACAATGAATATGTAAACATGTTATGAATATGCATGATCGTAGTGCATAACTAAGTTTCTGTCCAGGGGCCAGGTGTGCATGCCAGGAGGAGATATCCCCTGTACACCTGGCGCCACAATAAAGTAATGCCTGCTCTCTAACACTGCAAAGTGTGTTAAAGAGTTTCTGTCTGGATTTTCGGTGACAAATGTATAAAATAAATATAGAGACTATTTACAAGGATCTCAATATGTTTTAGAAATTCCTGTATCATGCAAATGTTACTGCTGAAATTACAGACTCAAAGCAACAAATAAAAAGTGGGGGGGAAAAAGGCAGTTTACTCTTTCGTAAGTTTGTACTCTAAAATTTTTACATAGTATGTAAATTTCATAAATTTTACTAAGCATTTCCTTTCTCAAACCCTCCCTCCCCAACATTCTCAATCCTTTTAAGAAACATAATATAATAATCCTATGAACTTGTACATGCTGGGGACCAACTGGCTGGAAATCAGTTTTGCAGAGAAGGACCTTGGGGTCCTTGTGGACAGCCAGCTGACCATGAGCCAGCAATGTACCTTTGCAGCAAAAAAGGTCAACAGCATGCAGGGCTCCATTAGGAAAAGCATCACCAGGAGATCAAGAGAGAAGATCCTTCCTCTCTGCTCTGCCTTGGTGAGACACATCTGGAATGCTATGTCCAGTTCTGGGCTCTCCAGTAGAAGAGAGATATGGAGCTCGTGGAGAAAGTCCAGCAAAAGGCCACTAAGATGATTAAGGGACTGGGACATTTTTCACAGGAGGAGAGGCTGAGAGAGCTGGGTCTGTTCGGGCTGGAGAAAAGAAGTTTCAGCAGGGACTTTATTAACTTACATAAATACCTGATGGGAAGGAGTGAGAGAGACAGACCCAGTCTCTTTTCAGTGCGGCCCCGTCACAAGACAAGAGGCAACAGGCACAAACTGAAATGCAGGAAATTCCTTTTAAATGTAGGAACAAACTTTTTACTAAGCAGGTGGTCAAACACTTGAACAGTTTGCACAGTGTGACGAATACACTAGATGCCTAGCCATACTTTGGTTCAGGCTGACTAAAGAGCAACAAGCCTCATAGCCAGTGGTGAACCTGAGAGCTGAAAAGCTCCTGGCTCACATACAAGGGAGTGAAGATGCTTTGAAAAAGTATTTCGAATTGTGGTTTCAAAGCCCAAAAATGCAAGATAACCTAAGTACAGAACAAGATACTAGGGGTAAAGCAAAGACATCTGTCTTGTCTATACTACTGACTAGCAGCCAACTACTTCACTCTATAAGTATCAAGATCAGTATGAGCCCAACTTGAGCTCTCCCTGAATTGCAACTGGACTGCATGCCAGGTGACTCTCCCCCAGAGCAAGGACACCTCTCAAGGTTTGAGATTCCTTACTTGAGACTGAGAGACCCTTCCTTACCCAAGGCAGAGAAATCCCTCGCTCCTGGCAGATCCTCAGTGGTTGACTGATAGCATACTGAATTAATACTAATGAAACATTACTAATTCACGTAGATACTAAATATTATTATAAATTTTGTATAGATAATTCCATTAAACATAAACTGCTGTCCAAGACTGAGACTAAGATTGGACCTAGCCGCATCTAGGCTCCATAAGGAGTTTAGAAAATGAGGAGTCCACTCTGAACCTCATGACTCAACAGGAGGGTCTTCTTTACCTTTTGTGTCTCTGATCTCTGTGTGAATCATTCTACCTCAATTCTAATTCAATTTTTCTTTCTATGTTTCTTCCATGCAGTAATTAATAAGGTGAACATTGTCATTAGACTTATTGAACTTTTGTAAACCACTGTTAAACTTTGTTAAATTCCATTGAATTTATTGAACTTTGTCAAATTATTATTATACCTCAGTAAAACATATTGCTGCTTCTCTCTTTTGAGTGAGGTGCATTACACACTTCCTCAACACCCGGAGAGATTATTGAATCTCCGCCTTTGGAGATATTCAAAATATGACTGGAAATAGTCCTGAGCAAGTGATAGTCGACCTTGCTTTGAGCAGGCAGGGGTTGGACTAGATGATCTACAGAGGTGCCTTACAACCTCACCTACTCTGTGATTCCGTGATTTGCAACAAGTCAGTATTTCTCTGAAGTATTTTACAAGTTCAAAATAATGTAAAAAAATAAAATCTGGATTATAGAAAATGAAAGTCCTGTGTTTATCACCAACCATTCGTGCTAAAAGGTACCCATTACAGCTGACACTAACTTCCACTTCAAGCAAATTACCATTTTGAATTAATTCCTTGTACCTGTTTGAATATTATCATGGCATTATACGTTATACATTTTTCAATAAAGCACATGACAAAACATAGGCATCAACTGAAAATAATTTAATGGACACTTCCAGTGTCCTTTATGTATTCATCTAGTACACTGTGCAGTCATATGTGCAGTTCTGCTGACTTCTATTGTAGTTCACTTCCTAACCACCTCATTTCTATCACATGGTTGTTAATAAATTTTACTCATTGGAGTTTACTGAATTCAGGGAAAGTTCACAGAATCACAGAATCACAGAATGATAGGGATTGGAAGGGACCTCAAAGGATCATCTAGTCCAATCCCCCTGCCTGAGCAGGACCGCCTAGATTAGATCACACAAGAATGCGTCCAGGCGGGTTTTGAACATCTCCAGAGAAGGAGACTCCACAACCTCTCTGGGCAGCCTGTTCCAGTGTTCTGTTACCCTTACTGGGAAGAAGTTCTTCCGCACGTTTAAGCGGAACCTCCTATGTTCCAGCTTATATCCATTTCCCCTTGTCCTAACATTGGATGCCACTGAGAAGAGCTTGGCTCCATCCTTATGACAGTCACCCTTTACATATTTATAAACATTAATGAGGTCCCCCCTCAGTCTCCTCTTCTCCAAGCTCAAGAGACCCAGCTCCCTCAGCCTTTCCTCATAAGGGAGATGCTCCACTCCCTTAATCATCTTTGTGGCCCTGCGCTGGACTCTCTCAAGCAGTTCCTTGTCTTTCTTGAACTGAGGGGCCCAGAACTGAACACAATATTCCAGATGCGGCCTCACCAGGGCAGAGTAGAGGGGGAGGAGAACCTCTCTCGACCTACTAACCACACTCCTAATACTCCCCAGGATGCCATTGGTCTTCTTGGCCACAAGGGCACATTGCTAGCTCATGGTCATCCTGCTGTCCACCAGGACCCCCATGTCCCTTTCCCTTGTGCTGCTCCCCAACAGTTCAGTCCCCAACTTGCACTGGTAAGTTAAGGAGAAGAATATTGTTTCTTCAAAATAGGTTGCATTTTTCAAACATAAGCACAGAAAAAGAATGCATTATCTTATATGAAACAAAATATTCCAAGAGAAAGAGTTGAAAAAGAATTTTATAGTGAGTTATAAGATACCATGTTTTGATACAGAACAGGTACTGAGTGGGCTTCTCATAGGAATGACGTGCAAAAGAAAACAAATTTGTCAAAGGTGTCTTCACTAGTTTCATTCAAATATTTTTTAATAACTTTAACTAGCAATATAAATTTAGTGATTCTAGCAGAACAAACAATTTATATATTGCCTGGAAATCTGTCTCTTACACATTAGAATAAAACATAGAAACTACGGCTCTATAGAAAGATAAGTAAACTTAACAATTTTACAGAAAGCTTAATGAAAAACGTACCTTGCCTACATATTGATAATCAGATCCCGTGTATTCCTCTAAAAGGAAAAACTGATTCCACATCCAGCCTCGCTTCTGGCGGTGAATTGCTTTTCCATCGTTCCCTGATGAACGTCCCCCAGAGTTTTTGGGTCTGAGATCAGGAGTCCTTCTGAACAGCAATTCTGTATGGCCAGGATGCAGCAGCCACATCCAGAGCAGCAGAAGCAATAGAACTTGCTGTATAGTCATAGTTCTCCACTGCTGATGCTCTTCAAGTTGGTCAGCTATGGAGCCTACAGTTTTGTTCTTCTTGACTTGCTTTTTATGTCTCTAGTTGCTAATGCAGCCAAACAGTTTCCAGCAGCTCATCTCTGAACTGTACATAGTAACCAAATCCTGAAAGTAAACAGAGAAGTGACAATGTAAATTGAAATGCATTTACTCTGTAGTGTTCAACATCCCTGCTACTGTACCTTGCAGATACAAAACATTATGACGTGAAAGCAACCTGGTTAGGAACATGAAGGTTATCCAGATGTTAGAACATTGTGAATATATTAGGTAGCTGATGTCAAAACACTTCCTAAGACAGTAAGAGTGCCCTGAGATGATCAACTATTTCTCAAAATCTTTCCATTTAGAAACTTCTAAGAGTGTTCTTGATATAGAATAGGGGATTAAGATTGCTGAAACTTACACATTAAATACTGCTTCGTTTCAAATGTTTTCCATCTGATTTGATTTACAAGAATTCCAGTGTTTTATTAATCTTATTATCAAGAGGACTGAAAAGCCAACACAAAGTAGTTTTAGAAATGAGGAAATGGTAAAATACTAATTCTCCAGAGTGTTTTAAATGGTAAAAGAGAACATCATATGCATCAGAAGAAATACAACATGACAAGAAGCAAACTTTTAAATAGAAAAGGTTCCTGAGATGATCTCGCAATATGAAGTGATTCAAACTTAGCTTTAAACTGCAGGAAAATTGAGGGCATGTTTTAAAAGTATCCTGAATAACTTTAATTTTGGACAGTACTGAAATTAATCTCATCATGGCAAGTGATATTGCAGAGAGGAGGCAAGCCTCTTCTAACTCATCTTCATTTGGTCTCCACAACTTTTTCTTTGCTTTACTTTATTTTCTTTTAGTTTTTCCTTCTTCTGACAGAACCATAAGATGCTATTTCAGCAAGATAAATTTAGCCAGGATCTCTTCATTTGACTTCCATCATAGCATTTAAAGAGTAACACTTTTTACTAGTGAGATAATTTAGTAACATTTTCCTTCAGTAAATCATGGCAATCTATGATTTGTCTTCTTAATAGGGTACAGTTTCTGCAAATTTTAATCAGCGTCACTTTTTCATTTTTTTTTAGCATTCCCAAAGGAAATAAAATGCATGGATAGTGGTCACAGTTCCGTGTATATTCTTCCACACGTGGCACAAAACTCAAGTAATAAAAAACTTGGGTTGTTTTTTCTCTTTTTTTCTTATTTTGATAGATAAGTAACATTACAGACTGCAATCCCACCCATGTGTCCTCTGATTTCAGTAATATTATATTATATCTCATGATTACCTTTTAAGCATTTTTTATTTTTCAAAGTGGAGGTATGTAAAATTTTCAAAAATTCTTTCTGCGTTTCAGTTTGATTTTGATGTGTTACTTAAGATATTTCCCATAAGCTTGTGTTGATAAAAAAGGTTCACAACAAAATATCAGGGCTTTAGAGTAGAAAACCTATGAAATGTAGTGATTTCTTACAGTTAAAAGACTCTGCGTGTGTACATGCGTGTGTGTGTGTGTGTGTTAATAACTGAACAAATTCAGCTTAGGATTTAGTTTTTGCCTTCAAAGTTAAATTCTCTGAGAATAATGTTTTCCACTCTTCTTCAACATTTGGAAGACTAAAGAACTTCTCAAAGCCACTGCTTTCAAGGACTTTAGCCCCAAGACTGATCACAGTAACTCACAGGCATGCATTTCTATTTGTCTAAATAAATATCGTTATGTATCGCTTCATTTACCTCCTCTTCCTTTCTTCTAAAAGTTTGACATTTACTTGATTTGTGAACTTTGAATACTACCCAGACAATCTGTTCTAATATAAACCCGTAATAACATATGCTGAATTACATCAGCATGTGCAAAGTGGAGCTGTGGTCCTCCTTCTTGGAAATTATTTATCACAACTCATATTTATGTTCTTTTGAAACAAAGGTATACTGAGTGAGAGAGGAGGATCACGATTTACTCTCATATAGTTAGAAATGTTTCTTCTCAAAGACTATAGGAATTTCAAACTTGAAATTAACTCTTTAGGGTATTATTAGTTTCCCTAAAAATTGGAAAGCTATTGGGATTTTTGTTTGAGAAGGAGATATATTTTCTTTTTTTTTTTTTTTGGTGTGGGTGTTGTTTTGGTTTTTTTCTTTTCTTTCTTGTCACACTCGGTATATATATTCCATTATTCACACATTATTACTTGATGTAGAAGTGTTGTTAAATTCCTCTTGAGAAATAGCGCTTCAATATTAGGGGTTGTTATTGAATTTCCTTCTTGTTAAATTAGGTCAGCAGAATGAAAGCTCAGATGAAATTTGTTAAAGTTACAAGAGTAGCTAATGCACATGGACTTGGCAAACATGGCTGCTTAATGGATGTATGTACCAGTAAGGTCTTTTCCCTCCTTTGAGACTCTTATTGTAGTTCAGCTTCCTGCTTTAAATGTAATGAGTTTGATAGTAATCTACACTCAAGCAATAACATTTACCCTTAAAAGGAAGCTAGAAAATAAGAAAAAACAGACTGAACTAAAACCAATTAAATAAAAAGGTGTGGAATTAAGAAAATATTTGAAGAGAATTAGGTGAAGGAAACCTTTTAATATATAACTACAGAAAATAGATAGAAGTCCTAGTTCTATAATACATTGTGTATTTGAGTTCTGTGCTACCCTATCAGAGCTGGAACAGTCAATGGAGGAAGATAAATTTATCATCTGTTTGTTTGCTGTTGGGTTTTTTTTTTTAATTCTCTGGAAAACTAATTGGAAAACTATCTAAATTTTTGTGAAAATCTTATCTTAGAAGGGGGTTTAAGAATTCAGTAGAATTTTAGTAGTTTCTCTGACTTCAAGTAAGTATTTTTTTTAAAGAACTGAAACAATTTTAAAAAGCTTTAAATAGTTTAAAATGAAACTATTTCACCAGTCTTTGTCCTCAAATCTGTCTCTTCTTCCAGAAGATCACTTCTCAACTTTTTCCCACAATAGAAAAGAAACAAAGGAAGAAAATTATTATAAAAAATAAAATTAAAGCTTTCTAAAAACTATCAAATATGTGCAAGGTTCCATATTTCTGTGTAATATCCTTCTAAACTACATTAAACTTACTGCAGAGGAGCATTGTGCCCAACTCTGCTCTTGTTTATATAGGTTTTTCTTTTGGAATTATTTTAAATTAATTTTCTTGGAAGAATCTCTAGTGTGGAGAAGTTGAATCAATCATCACTGAAGCTATTAATCATTTCATCATTAGCTTTCAACTAACAATTTTAAAACAATTAGGCATTTTCACTTTCTCTCAGAACTTAGAAGAAAATGTTTTAATTCAACTCCAACAGTCTCATGCAATTTCAAATGTAATTTTTACAAAATTTGTAAAATATAATTTTGCTTGCTCAGTCATGCAACCCCTCCCCCCAATAATGCTAAAACATACTTCATACCTTTTGAAACTCATGAGATTTAATGGACACATAAGAAAAACCATGAATATCTTTAACTGATGCACTTCTCAATCAGATTTCCATTTACTGGTTGCTCCAGCAGTTTGATCTTTTACAGTTGAGATTTTATTTCTTTAGTAAATTATTTCCTCTTTTTGTCTGTCTTTCGAAATTAATTTATAGCTGCTTTTGGAAGTCAGCAGAATTAAATTTAAAGTAAAAACTGTAATATGGATCAAAAGCTTGTCTATGTTTTGGCTTTTTTTTTAATCAAGAAATTTTATTAAACTTCTGTCTATCTTGTGAAGAGCAAATTTGAGCAGCAAAAACTTTTACTTAAGATAGCTGCAATTTACAATTTTTATTCTGTATTTAACCTTGGTCAAACTCGAAATGAATTTTGATCCTGTAATATTTAAAAAAACTTGCTTAAAGAAAGACATTTATACATGGCCATTTCTGTTTTCTCCATTTCTGTTTTCTCCATTTCTGTTTCAGTTGGGAGCCATTATCTATTCACATCATTACTCCTGTCTTTCAGTCCTTTTTTTGCTATGTTTGTACAAAAAGAAAGATGATTTTTGGAACTGAAGATGCTTCATGATGAATTAGGATAAGTTACACTGGAATTTTATGAGGAGAACAATCTTTAATTCCATTACAATGGAAGACACTGGAACATATTGTGTTCTTGTTTTGCTCTTGCTCTGCGGAGGTGACACCAATAGAGCTTTTCTTATATATACCCACAGTGAGAAAACTTTCTTACTTTCTGTCTCATTTCTCCAAATCTTTGATTCTCTTGCAGTCATCAGTATAGAGCTACCATCACAGGCTGCAGACCCTCTTTCAAAGTGGCTATGAGACACAATTGCTACTATTTTGGTTTTGTCCTTGAAGTAGGTTAACTTGATAAGGTGTCTCTCTACTTCATTAGAACTCTTACTCCCAGCTTATGATGTCATAAAAGAAATTCGAAACTCTGGCTAAGTTTTGAAATAATAGGAACTATTTAACAAGCTGGTAAGAATGGAAGTAGGAAAGAAGCTAAGGGTAGAAAAAGCTGCATTTTCAATGAACCTCAGAAAAGCCTCCAGCTCGGCTAATTTAGCAGTTTTGCTTCTTTGCCAATTCTTTATCAAAAACAGGAAGAAAGTTCTGATGCTCTAGAGCACAGTATGATTGTCCTGGTTTTGGCTGGGACAGAGTTAGTTCTTCTTTTTAGCAGCTAGAAGAGCTCCGTGTTTTGGATTTAGTCTGGGACTTGTTATGAGAAGAATGTTGATAGAGCACTGATGTTTACAGTTGGTGCTGAGACATCAAGGACCATTCAGCTTGCTGTGTTCTTGCCAGTGTGCAGGAGCACAACAGGCTGGGGGGGAGCATGGTCAGGACAGAGGGTCCACAACTCCCCTTAGGATTTGAACCTAGGATTGAGGGCTGAATTGGCCAATGAAGTATTCCATATCATGCAATGTCAGGCCCAGAATATACATGAGGGTTGAGTGCTCTTG